AGTTTCGTTGAAATTGATCCGTTATTTTTTAAGATATGTAAGAAAAACCAATGTGTTAAATACTTTTGTTACCCACTGTATATATATATATATATATATAAATATATATATATATGAGAAGAAATATAGTCTTAAGGTGTGCTATGTTTATGGGATAAAGTGCTCAATATCAGAGATAGAGCGTGTGTAAATATAAAAGTGAACATAGAAGTCAACACTTAGAGGCGACAGTCTCATGCTATATGCAATCGTCAGACCACACACACACATATATATATATATATATATATATATATATATATATATATATATATATATATATATATATATATATATATATATATATATATATATATATATATATATATATATATATATATATATATATATATATATATATTAATATATATATATCCTAGGTTTTTATACTCTACTCTACTTAATATATTGAGCACTTTTACGTGTTTTTTTCTTATTTTACTCGATTCTTTTATTTTTCTTTAAATTAGAAATTACGACACTGGGCGATTTTTTTAGTCTATTCGGATGTTCTTAGTCTTTTTGTTTTTTTTTTTCAAAATTTTTCCCTTGGATGCCAATTTGTTTTAATATATTTTTATTTGAAAAATGTACTATACGGTTTTTTTTACACCAGACGAGTATAGACATTACTATATATATATGTGTACGTATGTGTGTGTGCTGGACACACGTATTCAAGGTTTCCTGTATACGAGGATATATATATATATATATATATATATATATATATATATATATATATATATATATATATATGTTGTGAAATTTTGCCGATTATTATAATGTGATGATAACATTTTGCTGTATGAAATGAAATGACTATTAGACATATTACAGTATCTCACTTAATTATGACTAGCAGCATGGCCCGGCGTTGCCCGTGCTTGATTCAAAAATCGTACGACTCATACAACAATCGCTATCACTTGACTTAAAATATGTTTGCCCTTCCTTGCCTTTAAAGGAGTGCCCTTAGCCGTGCTGATGTTGCTACATGCCTTACTTCTTGCCTATCTCACACTGCGAATTTTTTCTAAGTTCTATACTAAACATTAAATCTGTTACGAAAAAAGAACTAAACAAAATGAACACAAAACGATCAGCTTTAAAAAAAGGACTCGTAACTGGAAAAACCGAATGAAAAAAGAATGTTAACAACAAATACTTTTTCACACCCAAACCAGTTCTGCGGAATCAGAATCAACGTTGACTTTAAGCAAGCGAATGAGCTAACTGGAGTAAAGTGCCATGAAGATTTAAGTTTTTCCCACTTGTGACGAATGCAGCTATCGATATTTTTTGCATGCTAGCATGCTAGTTAACATTCGTGTCAGTCAGCTGCTTGCTCTCACGCTGGTCAATAGAATGTTCCTGCCTATTCGTGGCAGCCAGCTATTGGCTCTCACTCTGTACAGTAGAAAATGGCCGCAAACTACATGAAAACTACTGTAGAAACATGCAAAAATCGATTATTTCCACTATCGACGGGAGTTGGGAAATGCAAAGTCGGTGTTGGCCTTCCCGTTAACTTGGGGCATGTGCATGTAAATTTTGGTGCCAATCCGTCGAAAATTGCGGCCGTGCAATCGTTACACACACACACACACACACACACACACACACACACACACACACACACACACACACGCGCGCGCACATCCTGCCTTTTATAGATAGAGATTACCCCATCCCTTACCTAGTATATTAGTTTCATCAGCCCTTTAAGGAAAAAAATTGTTTCTAGAGTCTATCGGCTCATCTTTAATTCATCCTTCTTCCATCTCTTTTCTTTCCCGTCCTCTCTCTCTGCCCTCTTCTTCTTGCCCCTCTCTCTTACTTTCTTTACTATTTTTTCCTCTCTCTTTTCCTTATGACTGGAAAAATTGAATTCATTTCTAAAAGAAACTTCTGTCTGTTTAAATAGTCGTGAAATAAATTATAACCGAAATGGATTTTGAGGGATAATTATTATATTTCTCTGTTATTTACATTGAGCTCACTTTGGATTAATACCCTCCTTGGCATTATCCCTCCCAATTACCAATTGTTATATATATATATATATACACACAAGCGCACACACATACACACACACATATATAAAAGTGAACATTGAAGTCAACACTCAGGCCGCCTATATTTCTTCATATATATATATATATATATATATATATAAATGAAGGAAAATATATAGTTGTTCCTATGATAGAAAAATATATATTCTAAACAGAAGAGAAACTCCGCAAACGTTTTTGATTATAATGCGTTTTTTTAAAAAATATATGCTATACTTTATTTTATGTTTTTGCTACACGTATTTGCAGTTTCGTCATCTTCATCAGGCAAAGGGTGATTATTTCTACCTATTATTAAATGGAATTCATTTCCCTTATGTTTCCCAATGTTTTACCCGTATCTTTTGTGTGTAGTAGTATTCCAAATTTTTCTTACACATGTGGCGAAAATATTCTTCTGCTTAAGGGGTAATATAAAATTAGGATTGGTCAGAGAGTGGGCAAAGGAAGGAGGTTTTTGTTGTTATCTTTTTATGACCCTTTGTATCTTCTTAGACCTAAGAGATATTAGAAATAGTTATACATTCAATATTTGAAGTGTTAGAGAATTAAAAAGAAATAAAGTAGAATTATATTATGAAGTAAACGTAATATTATAGAAGATAAAATCTGCTTCTATGTCGATATTTTAATATTAATTCATTCACTGTTATCAGTGTAGCTAGACATCCGAATACAAGGATCGAAACCCGTCTCATTTGGCATATATATATATATATATATATATATATATATATATATATATGAAAGAAAAATACAGAAAAAACAAAATTCTGAATATGCATTATTAATGTTAAAATAAAGTCGACGTCGGACGTTTCGGTCTATTTAAGACCATCTTCATGGACATTTTCATTTAAACATAATTAACATTATAACTTATAACAATTTAACACAAAAGACGATGGACATAAGAGCCCAACTAATTCAAACAGATAACTCATTTTAACATTAATAATGCATATTCAGAATTTTGTTTTTTATGTATTTTTCTTTCATACTGTCGGATTTATATCCATATATTTGCTTACATATATATATATATATATATATATATATATATATATATATATATATATAGAGAGAGAGAGATGAGAGCAAATCGTGTATAATTCCACTGTCTGTAACATTTCATTTAAAAGAGGGCTCAATAAAGAATAGAACTAAATATTATGATATTAAAATAAAAACATGTTAAAAATCGCTAGACAATTACAGTCATATTTCAACACTACAAATGCGTCTCCTCGGGCGATGTTAAACCACTAGCGAGTAAACGATAAATTTAATTCCGAGAAAGGTTTAATATACTAAAATAAATAACACACACACACACACACACATATACAGATACAGAGAGAAGGATACAAGCGTCCGAGAACAAATGCACAAGAAAACTCCTTGACATTAGTTATTGGGAACAAAAAACCAATGACTTTGTGCGGTCAAGGGTTGAAAGTTTTGAGGGACACTAGGAGCCTGTTTTCGCCACTGTCAAACGGAGAAAAAGGGCGTGGTTTGGACACATTACGTGACACGTCACCTTGTGCAAAACCATCATGCAAGGCACTGATGAAAGGGGACGTAGAAGAGGATCCTAACGCAAAAACTGGTTGGACAATGGACAGGTATAAGCGCATCAGAAATGCTGATGTCTGTCGTTGATTGATGTCGACCCAAAGTTGGGACCACGGAAGGAAAACACGGAACACGGATTGGAGGTAAGAAAGATATATTAAACAAAAAGGTTACAAAGATAGTGTAAGTGTAAGCGGAGCTTACTATGTGCTAGTGTCCAATATTGGTAGTCGTACGCGGCTGATACTACGGTATTAGAAAACTCTCTCTCTCTCTCTTTCCTCCTCTTCTCATAGAGTGTTATATCGCATACTTTATATAGTCCTGGAAGAGTCCATGTTGTAGTTATGTTACGGTCTCACAACATTGATAGACCACTGTGAAAAAGAGATAGTGTGGCTTCTACATTCGGATCCGCCTTACGATTACAAAAGTGAAGGGGGTGCTGCTGCTGCTGCTGCTGCTGTTGCTGCTGCTGATGATGATGCATGATAATATGAAGACATTTACCTTACTTTTCTTCTTTTTGTCTGGCGATAGATAACATTATTCGTTTTAGTGTTATATCCTTTCTTTGATGCTTTTTTGTGTGTGTGGGGGGGAGGCTCCCTGCTGAGATCAAACACTCTACACTGATGACGATGGACAATGTCATTGAAATTGTTTGCTCGACTTAATTTAGTCTGGCTCAACGATACATAGGCGTTTCACAATACCAAGCAGATAAACATGGCACCGACGTGATTCGTATAATGATGGGTTCGTTTTACGGATAATCGAATTTGTGCGGATTATTTAAAGCCGAAATAAATTTCGGACTATCAAAGGTCGCTTATTGTACTCTGTATTTCTAATAGGTCCCTCATCTAAATACTCCACAAGATACACGCTTCATTATTTTAGTGAGCGAACAAGAACATATGAGATTAACGTGATTTGATCACAAAGCTTTGTGACTTATATATGTCGAAGACGCACGCCTAAATTTCGGTTTCAAAATTCTGGGCAAAGTAACTAGGGTGTCAAGCGTATTGACGTTTTAGAATCGGTAGCTGTATAATTAATCACAGTTTAGGTTTTTTTTCAACTTTTTTCATCAGGGTTTTTATCAACATTATATTTTGGAATTGTGAAATTTCCACGGTTTATATGAGGGAAAGTCGCGAGCGTGTTCAGAGAAAAATGCAATAAGCTGAAGGTGAAAATAAATTTAGGGTCGGAGAAAGAGAATTCTAAAGGCATATTCAGCAGCTAGCGGTTATTTCTCTATAGCAACGTAAACAGAAAAAAAAAAAAAGTAATTACGATGTGGGGAAGTGACTGTGATGTGGAGAGCAGGAAACGCGCAATGAAAACAGCGCGCACAACAGATGGCCCGCTTTGAAACACCTTTATTATTTTTCAATTCGACAATGGCGCATGGCAGAGATGAAGAAGAAGATGAAAAGAAGAAGAAAGGAAGAAGTAAAAGAAGATGTAAATGAAGAACAACAACCATAAGTACAGATATAAGACGACGATAGGCATATAGATAAAATTCTGAGAACAACAATAACAACAACAAGATCAAGGAGAGATACGTGAAAATCGAAAGAAGAAGAAGAAAATGTCGGAGAACAACAAGAACAAATATAAGATGATAATAGACCTATAGATAAAATTCTGAGAACAAAAGTAGCCACAACAAGATCAAAAGAGAGACCGAAGAAGAGGAAGAGAAGGAAGAAGAAAAGGAAGAAGAAGAGGAGAAAGAAGAAGGTTACATAAGGGAATGAATATTTTTTGTTAAATAAAAAAAAACAAAATGGGCTAAAATTGCACTAAGCAGAATAAGCGAAGTGAAAGAGAATAAATAATAATAATAATAATGGTAAACAATAATAATAATAATAATAATAATAATAATAATAATAATAACGAGGTAATGACATATGTGCACTTGAAGATATGCAAGAAGCACAAAATCGAAACCACAGAGAAATGGCATGAGCATCAACCAGACACAGTCACCTAAAATAACGATGTAACTATTCTCTGGAACATACCAATTCAAACTGAAATGGTAATAAAAGCCAACAGACCTGATATTATCATACAAGAGAAGAAATTCAGGGAGTGTATGTTTACTGACATAGCAGTGAAATCTGAGAGAAACAACTACATGAAAACTATCTAGAAATTGTCCAAATAAAAGGACTTGGAGAACGAGATTAACAAGATGTAGGGAAGGAAGACTGGGACTGTATCAAGAGTAATCGGAGCTCTGCCCCTAGTGAGAAAAGGAATGGACAATTTTACTAACAGTGCCCCAGGTAAAATCAACGTAAAAGTGGCCCAGAAGATCGCCCTACTAGGAATAACCCATATACTAAGAAAAATGCTCTCAGTTAAATGAAAATTTTCCAATAGTTCCTAAGGACCATAGTTTGGATTCGGCTCTACAGGATATAAAGCGGGAAACATAACATACGCAATAATAATAATAATAATAATATGCCAAAAATGTGGCACATGATAACATCAACAAACCCAGTTGTAGTTGGAGCGCTTGGATTGATTGGAAAAGATTCCAGTTGAATCATTGAAGGGGTTCCTGAAGGCTCAAGCCTTAAAGAAATACAAACAAATTGTTCCTAAGAGTGCAGGCCACACCTTATGAAAGGCTTTATCTATGAAAATATGAGCGTTGTTCTTTTTTAAAGTGCTCAGTCGAAAATGTCACGATGCTATTTCTGATCTTAGGAATTTGGTTGGGACCCGGACAGAGAAATCAAAGACAATATAATAATAATAATAATAATGAGAAGAAGAAGAAGAAGAAGAAGAAGACGAACAAGGAAGAAGAAGAAGAAGAAGAAGAAGAAGAAGAAGAAGACGAACAAGGAAGAAGAAGACGAACAAGAAAGAGGAAGAAGAAGACGAACAAGAAAGAGGAAGAAGAAGAAGACGAACAAGAAAGAGGAGGAGGAAGCAGAAGAAAAACAAGAAAGAGGAGGAAGAAGAAAACGAAAAACAACAAGAAGAAAAACAAGAAAGAGCAGGAGGAGGAGAATTAGACGAAAAAACAGAAAGAGGAGGAGGAGGAGAAGAAGACGAAAAACAAGAAAGAGTAGGAAGAGGAGGAAGAGAAGACGACGTAAAACAAGAAAGAGGAGGAAGAAGAAGAAGAAAAACAAGAAAGAGGAAGAAGAAGAAGAAAAACAAGAAAGAAGAAGAAGAAGAAAAGCAAGAAAGAAGAAGAAGAAGAAGAAAAACAAGAAAGAAGAAGCACACAAGAAAGAAGAAAAAGAAGACGAAAAACAAAAAAGAAGAGGAGAGGAAAGAAAAAGACGAAAAACAAGAAAGACGGGGAAGAGTAGGAGAAGACGAAAAACAAGAAAGAGGGGGAAGAGGAGAAGAAGAAGGACACGAAAAAAAAGAAAGAAGAGGAAGAGAAGAAGAAGAAAAAAAAGAAGAAGAAGAAGAAGACGAAAAACAAGAAAGAGGAGGAGAAGAAGAAGACGAAAAACAAGAAAGAGGAGGAGAAGAAGAAGACGAAAAACAAGGAAGAGGAGAAAGAGAAGAAGAAGAAGAAATAGAAGAAGAAGAAGAAGAGGACGACGAAGAACAAGAAGGAGGACAAGAAGAGGATTAACATGAAGAATAACAAAAAGGAGGAGAATGTGAAGGAGAAGGAGAAGAAGAAAAACAAGAATATCAACGAGTAAAAGATGCACCCTTCGAATGTATATTAAGTTTAATTTATCTCACGCATAAATTACTACATGCAATGAGACCTTAACCGTGGACATCAGATAATTACCTGTGAGGGAGAAATGTTATCTTCAAAGAGTAATTTATATAGAAAATTACTTTCATCTGCCATTGAGATCACTGTTTGATTACGAATTTCTCAGCCAAACGAACGTTCTTAATACGCGAATAAGTTAAAGATTTGTTTGAAATGAACACGCGATCAATGTTTTGCATGGGTTCTAGTTTTATTTTCTACAAACAGACTTTGGCTAAAACAGAACATATTAAAAGTGTTTGATCGATAGCCAACTGCTAAGAAAAGGCTAGATCGATTTTTGTCCTTCAAGCAGTGACTTTATAACTGGACGTATACTGGCCTTTTGATTTCATTCCATATCCTTTCCACAATCAATTTTACCCTTTCTGATCGCGGGAAAAAAAAAAAGCTACGGGGAATATGGAACAGAATAAATAGAGTGTATCCATTAGCTAAGTATTCAAGCGAGCTCTTTGCAATATGGAGAACCACCAACAGTTTTATTAAACATTCTTGATCCAATGTCAACATTTTTACTACCTATAGCAATCCTATCTTATCCGCAAATGAAGTCCAAAATATAGGCCAATTCTTTAATAGACTGGACAGGTCAGTACGACATTGAAACAACCCTAAAACCATTGGCTAACCAGTGAATCTAAGTCTGTGGACAGACCAAGAGCAGGAAACCAATCCCAGAATGACCTAAACTCGAGGCTTTTAATGCTTTGATTCCTGAAGCTGACCGCTCCCAGATGGCTGGATATAGAAAATCAGTTCATTGAATCCGAGAATTGACGAAAGGAAGTAAATTTGGCCAATTCTTTTAAGATCTAAGAGGCAAGAGTTTAGCAGGAAATAAAAAAGATAAATAAAAGTGTATTCAACGCGAGAGGGAAATAAAAAGAGAAATGGAGTGATTTATTAGTGGATAAATATCAAGGTTGAAAGGTAGATATGAACACACTGAGACAAACAGACAGACATACAAATAGATAGATAGAGAAATAGATAGATGTGAACAACAAAAAAAAATCATTTAATAACTAGACATATATGTGAATAACCAGCGAGAAAGAGGAAGCTTCACAGTGATATAAAGAACATATATATATATATATATATATATATATATATATATATACAAAGTAAAGAGAATCTTAAAATCTATTTCGGTTATGTTTTATGTCATGAAAATAGTTAAATATTATCAATTCTAACCGAATATCTATCTATCTATCTATCTATCTATCTATCTATCTATCTATCTATCTATCTATCTATTAATTAAAGACAATTTCAAAAATCTATTTCGATTATATTTTATGTCTTGAATATAATTATATATTCATAACTTCTGATCGAATGTGAGTCTGTATATCTATCTATCTATCTATCTATCTATCTATCTATCTATCTATCTATCTATCTATCTATATGGGGAGAGAGTGACATAGAGTGATATGAACAACGGAAACAATCTTTTAATGAATAGATTTATATATGAATAGCCAACGAGAAATAGGAACATATACAGATAATGAAGATAGATAGATAGACAGACGGACAGATAAGCAGTTAAAGAAATACCTCTGATTTGATTAATTGTTTTTAAGGCTCTTTCCATTTAGTTAATCCGGAAAATACTTTTTTACATTGCAAGTATTTTTTGAAGATAATTCTGTGGTCTTATTAAGTAACGCATCGCTGATTGGATAACTGGTCCATTCATAACTTTCTGAAGAATTTTTGCGCATAAGTGAATATGAGAAACCCAAATGGAATTGGAACTCGGCTCACCGATGAAGAACAGAAATTCCTAGATAGATAGATAGATAGATAGATAGATAGATAGATAGATAGATATAAAAAGGATCGGCATAGATAGATAGATAGATAGATATAAAAAAGAATCGGCATAGATATAAAAAAAAATAGATAGATAGATAGATATAAAAAGGATCGGCATAGATAGATAGATAGATAGATAGATAGATAGATAGATAGATAGATAGATAGATAGATAGATAGATATAAAAAAAGGATCGGGATAGATAGATAGATAGATAGATAGATAGATAGATAGATATAAAACGGAGCGGGATAGATAGATAGATAGATAGATAGATAGATAGATAGATAGATAGATAGATAGATAGAGAAAGAAGCGGGATAGATAGATAGATAGATAGATAGATAGATAGATAGATAGATAGATAGATCCAAACATTCTATAATAATTGTCAAGTTGGCATAGATATGAACAGTTAATTGTTATGAATTGTGATGATTGAGTACAAATTCACGTTCCCGCTAGTTTCGTTAGTTCACTAACTCAAAAAGATGTATGCACTGAAATCCCCTCTCCCACCAGCTAGTCTTAATCATTATGACTTCTATCACTAAACTATTATGTAAAAAAAATTACAATGTAAAAAATTTCTGGCTTTAAATAAATCACAAAATCAATAAATAAATACAACCTGATTAAGATAATTGAATGCAAGTTGGTAATATTGTTGGTAATATTTTTTTCAAAAATGTATTGCTGGTAATTTTTTTTTCAAAAATATATTGTTGGTAATACTTCTTTGTAAAAATGAATTGCTGCTAAAATTCTTCATCAAAAAATGTATTTCTGGTAATTTTTTTCTTCGAAAATGTATTGCTGATAATTTTTCTTCGAAAATGTATTGCTGGTAATATTTTTTTCAGAAATATATTGTTGGCGATATTTCTTTTTCAAATATATATTGCTGGTAAAATTTTCTTCCAAAAAAATATTGTTGGTATTAAAACCTATGTTTATACTTTCATAGTGTCTGGTCCCTTTTTGCTAATACCTGATAACCTGACAGGTGTTACCACCACCAGTCAGGGTGAACCTGGGAACACCAGCAATTAAGAGGTGGTTCCACGCTCCTCAAGAACTCCTAATCAAAGGCCTTGCTGTCAGATGTAGTTTATCGTCTTACCCAGGACGTGAATGTAGTTTCTCTTCATACCCAGTACGGAAACTAATAGATTATGTCGAAATAAAAATGAGAGAGTGAAACACATTTTTGTATGTGGTGAGTTTTTGTTTTATTAAGTTTTTATTAAGTTTTTTTCTATATTTATTATGAGCTTTCTGTTTTCGAACGCTTTTTTATATTATTTTATCCCTGTCAGCTTCACCTCCATCTTTTTTTATATAATACTGACACTTTTTCGTGTCAAAAATTCCGTATCTATCTATCTATCTATCTATCTATCTATCTATCTATCTATCTATCTATCTATCTATATATATATTACATGAATCATTCATACAAAAAGTAGATTAGTGAAATTAATGATATGAAATGGCGAAAACTCTTCGCAAACAAAATTTTAACCTACGAACCACACGATGATTGTCATGATCCTTGTTTTTAATAATTAAATGTTGTATAAGGTCTTTTTTTAATCTGCTAGTACTTTCAACTGTACATACAGTCATCCTTAGGCATGGAAATTATTTTGTTTTTAGTAAGTCCAGGTAGTAGAAGACGAAAGATTAAATGCGAAACGATTTTTTTTTTTTTAGAAATGTATTATTGATAACGGATACAAAATATTAGAGCGTGCATTCGCAACGCGAAGGTTGAATTTTTTTTTGAAAATTTAATTAATATTTACTAATATGGTAACTTGAGAATTATTTTTTGTTGTAGAAGTTTTTCAGTCAATTTGGCATGAACTAAATTGTTCACTAAATAAAGTAATGTCTCGGCTGTTATCCCGAAAATTTGCACGTCGGATCAGTTCTTTTAAATCAAATATGTGGTGCAGTTCAATATATATTACATGAATCATTCATACAAAAAGTAGATTAGTAAAGTTAATGATGTATATAAAGGTAATATATATATATATATATATATATATGCATATGCAATTGCATGTATTGTAATGGTAAGCTGTTTATAACGATAAATAGGATACCCAACTTCGAATTCCGGTCTAGTTTTTTTTGTTATCCCTTTCGTAAAAATACACTTAAAAAAAGTAAAATTATCCCATCTCTTTTACCAGCTGGTTAAATAGCCTGGTAGATTAGACTCTCTAACCGTGGTTGCTAATGTGCCTTAGAAAACTCTGAATTCAGTATAACCATCATGACCATTTCAACAGCCCCTTTCTATGTTATAATATTAACCACTTCAAGCCAAAGGTCAATCATTATATATGCTTCTTAACTACTGTTGCTCCCAGGCCAACCCTCATATTGGGCGTAACACCTGTTAGGGGTCCCAACAAAAAGCAAATACTGAAACTCCAAACTGGGATCAAAACATGAAAATATAAAATAAATTACAAACAATTATTAGCAATAGACTTTCATAGCAACAATACCTGGACTACATTTTTTGGAAAAAAAAATTACCAGAGCTCACAGGAAATTAAACTTTTGGGTTTAAATGAGCGAATAAGTAGCTGATATGCCGTTAAACAAAACAAACCAAACCAATAATCTATCCTTCTTATCTGCACAATCTTCACTTCCTACCAATTTTTAAACATCTACATTGCGAATTTTAATCCAAAATGTATTTATAATATCCAGATAATTATCTTTCATTCTTTCTTTTTCAAATTGCGATGATGTTTTACGATTTTCATTTGTTTCTCTAATTTGAATTCACTTTTTGGCATGTATGTCAGCGCCCTCATTATTCTGATGATAGTCGCCTATACAACTAAAATCATCGATTCTATTCCTTATTTAGCTTACCGTCATATTGTTTAACTTTGAAATTCTGTCTCCACTCACTCACACGCTTGTTCCTTAATGCTTAACTTTTCCTTCCTCTTTTAAAGATTTTGTTACTATTAAGCTTATTTTCCTTCCCATCATCTTCTTCACCAAATTTTTCGTCCGTTTCTTTTTTCCTTCCTTCACCTTCTTTGGGCTCATATTCTTCTTTTATCTTCTTTCTTCATTCAACCACTTGATATTCCTCATTTTTGGCGTTTCTATCATCAATGGCAGCATCATCACCACCATCGTCGTTGTCAACGTCTTCATAATCATCGACGCCCTTATCATCATCATCATCGTCGTCGTCGTCATCATCATAATCATCGACGCCCTTATCATCATCATCATCGTCGTCGTCGTCATCATCATAATCATCGACGCCCTTATCATCATCACCACTACCACCATCATCATCATCATTGCGGTTGTCCTTTGTCATCATCCTCATCTACACCGTCGTAATAATAATAAGCAGTACCATCATCATAATCATCGACGCCCTTATCATCATCACCACTACCACCATCATCATCATTGCGGTTGTCCTTTGTCATCATCCTCATCTACACCGTCGTAATAATAATAAGCAGTACTATCACCATCATCATTATCGTCGTCGTATTCATAATTATTGTTGCCCTTACCATTATCGTCGTCGTCATCATAATCATCGTCGCCCTTATCATTATCATCACTACCATCATCATCATCATAATCATTCTCGTCTTTGTCATCATCCTCATCTCCACCGTCGTAATAATGATAATCATTATCATCATCATCTTCGTCATCGTTGTCTTCATAATCATTGTCGCCCTTATCATCGTCATCATCGTCGTCGTCGTTGTCATCGTCTTCATCATCATAATCATCGACGCCCTTATCACCAAAAAATCGCGTAAAACGAAATCTATTTTTTCGCATTCCTTTTTTCCGTCCATTTTTTTCGATTCCTTCTCATCCTTCTCAGATCCTTTTTTACTTTTCTTCTCTTGTTCTGCTTTCTTCTTCCTTTACTTCTATTCGTTCATTTATCTCTCTTTCTTTCTCTCTTTTCCATTTCTACGTCCATTTTTTTTCCTTTCTTTTTTCCGTCTCCACGTTTTCTTTTCTTATTTTACATTTCCTTCTCGCCGTCTATTCTTTCCTTTGTTTTCTTCTCAAGCTCCATTTTTCTTCTCTTTTGTCTCTACGTCAATTCTTCTCTTTTCTTTCCTTCTCTTCATTCATTTTGAGCTCGAAGATTTTTCTCTCCA